CATATAGATTTATGTAACTATTGGTTCATATAACATGTATTAAGGGGTCATAATCATAATAAGTAAAGCAAAAATAAAAAAAAGGAAAGATAATATATAAAAGTCAAGCTATGTTGAATTAGTCTGCCAAGACATTGAAATTTGACTTGAAAACAAACAAGAAGACTTGAAAAAATAATTTAATTGGTCCAAGTCAAAGGACAACCTAAAATGAGTAAGCAAGTCACATAAGAAAATATAAATGGAGTGTTCTTGAGGTCTTGATGAAGACTAGGTCTTATTAGAAAGCCCTTTTATGGAGAACCTTATAATGGGATCAGGGATTTAATCGAGCAAGTTAAGTAGAAAATTAAAGTTTAGAAACACTTTCAAATGAGGTTGCAGCTTTAATATTTCTAATTTGGTTATGGAGTGCTTCACAAAAATCTAAAGGTGTTTTTAAGTCAAATGAGGTTACGAAACCCATTCATATCCATCTTTTACTAAAACTCATCTTGACTTTTACTTTTTAGAATCGGGTAACTAGAAAATTATTCTACTTAAATCATTGCATGACATATATTACACTTCATATCTTCTAATATTCATGATATATATTGATACAGAAGTATGCATGAGCAATCATTGTAATTGAATATAGAGCAGCTGTTTTTCCATTGATTTTAGCTGGTTCCTTGCCAGCCTCTTAATTATTTCCATATTATTCTTCTGATTCTCATGTAGTTGAGGAAAACAATATAATCTTCATTCAGCATCTTCTGCAACACACACACACACACACACACACACACACATATCGAATGTCTTTTATCTAAATTATACCCATGTCATTTGTAAACTTTCATATTTACACACATAGCACTCAACTCCTTAAGATCTTATCAAATAGTACTCTTAGAGCATTTTTAAAATTGAAATATACCTTTTAATGCATATCTTTAAAGCAAAAAAGTTCTATGCAAGTAAATATGGAAGTTTCAGTGTGAGATACGTAAACACATAACAAATGTGTGATGGGCATGTAAATTTCCTAAACTCTAAAGCAGTAAATTAAATATAAATACACATGAATTTGGTGATATGATAAGGATTCTTTACCAACAAAGGAAGGAATCCAACAAAAATCAGGTGTATCAGAGCTGGAGAATAATAAGGGAAGGAAGGGGGATAAATATGATGCTTACCTTAGTAAAACCAAAGGTTATCACATATTGTCATTGTAAAGCCATTATTGCTCCAGAGAGGGGAGAATGAAAATGGAAGGAGGAAAAGTGAGTGTTTTGATGACGGGGTTGGTATATATATAGTCCTTAATGGAGACAATATTGTATCAAAAGAATGTTTATTAAATTCTAAGCCTACTAAAACTTCTTCAAACTAATTTCAATTCAAACTAGTTTTAACCTAGTTCAAGCCCAAGTTTGCATATAATTCAAACCAAGCTTGAACCGTCAATCAAACTTTAATTGCAATCAAGTAAGAACATTCAGGCTAAGATCCCACAAGGGTTCAAATTCAATGAGGTTGCATAAGTTTTTGATTTAATGTCCTCATCTCCTTCACAAATAATGGTTCAAAGCTCAAGATTCTCCTCCTCTTCATGTATAAGGGCTTAGAGGTTTAACTCCTCTTCTCTTTTATCTGCTGCTCATCCTTTCAATCGATGCCAACCTTTGGCAAGCTCCATCATGAAATCTTTTTCATCTTCTTCAATTAATTAACCTTGGTCATATTAATTGTTTCCAATCCCTGGTAAAGTTCATCACCAACTTCTCTTCTCCTTAACAAAACAATGATCTTGTTAATCGATGCTTGCCCCTAGCAAGATCTATCACCAACTTCTCTTTACCTCCACAAGTCGTTAGTCCAATAACTCACTTCTTTCCTCCCCCAATTCCATCACAAACTTCACGTTCCATACACCTCAACGATAATGGTAAATTAGGTCTCAAATAATGCAAATGTAAGAATGATGAATCATAAGTTTCGAACAACATCATTATAAGTCTTTGAGTTCTGAATGAATATTGAAACTAAGGTTTAAATCCATTCCAATTTGAGCTAGTTTAAAATAATGTCAAAAGGCTTCAACTTTAATAAACAATATGCAAATACAAGATATATCCCTTGTTAAGGTTGATATTGATTAAAATAAAATTTCAGTTATCTATCTCCTTATAAAAATATGAGACGTATAAACTCAAATACGTGCTCATTTATATTGTTACGAATGCATAAATTTAATATAAAAAAAATTTCAAGTGCAAATTATTACAAAATTTTTAAAAATATTTATCACAAATAGGTGTTGGGGATTTACATACATGACCCTTAAAATAAGTCTAATTAGATCTCTAACACTTAATGACTTTTTTCTGCAACAACAAATAGAGAGAAATTAGCGTTAAGGGTTAGACATGACCAATTTCATGTAAAAGTCTAGACAAAAGAAGAGGCATAGAAGTTGTCATGATTTAGTAAAAGTCTAGACAAAAGAAGAGGCATAGAAGTTGTGATGATTTTATAATGAAAAAATAGGGAAATGTCAAGAAAGTCCTATGCATCACAATAGAAACTAGCTAGGAAGTGAATGATGTAGATGAGAGGGGAGGCATGTTTTATTTGGCAACAAAATTAATAAATCACGTAAATCTAATAAAACTGTCTGGCAATTTCCACTCTATCTGATTTTTTTTTCCTTAAATCCGTAGCGGACGAACTTAAATTCACTGATTCACATGATTTACTAAATTTGAGATTTACAGACAAAGGTCGGAGGCTATTATACGAGCTCCCAGACACCCCATGTGCCTAACAATTCGAGGACCTCCTTCACTACCAGCAAATTGGCTAGATGGGGATTCAAACCCGTGTCCTGAGGGGACTTATGACCTTAAAAGTGGCTGCTCTACGAACACGTCACGGCTGGGTGCACACTCACACACATAGATATTTTTTTTTTACCCCTACAGGTTGGGCTGATCGAGGGGCGGACCTCCATTCCAGCCCGTGCGCTATTCAAATCCTCCCGAATGAGCTGAGATTCAAACCCCCGATCCGAGGGTCTTACACCAAAGCCGCTGCCGATGAGTTAGGGCTCGCGCGCGCACACACACCCACGGATATATTATATGTAAATGAGCCAGACAGGAGTAAGCCTAAGGCTTGTTTCTGTTCTGTCGTTTGATTTTTTTTTTTTTTTGTTCGTGTTCAGCTTGTGTTCGAAATAACAGAGAATTGATAGTTTCTAATCAGCTTGATTTAAATTTTTTTGTTCGATTAAACTCATGTTCGGCTCGTCTGGAAATAAAATTTATTAAAATATAATAAATCATATAATATACTTATATTATAAAATTAAATTTTTATTTAAAAATAATCGTAGCTAAAGTTGTGAGAGGATTTAAGCGAGCAAAAATAAATTTAATAGGAAGAGATTCATTATTTATAAGGCTAGGTGTAATATTTTTTTTAAATTCTGTGACGGAAGAAGAAATTAGGGGTACTACGGTAAAAAAGCAGAACGGTAATGCGGGCCGCGGGGTCTCACTAGTGGCCAGCTTTTCGCCCGGATTCGTGGCTGCGGCGAGCAAAATGTCGTGTCAAACAATGCAAAACCACGGCCTCCCGCTGCACCACGCAGAGGAAGCCGCGCCAAACATAGCCTAAACCAATTCATTGGAGCTTTCAGCCAAGGGAATGAAATGGTTATTATGCATTGAAATGCCATGGGACCAGGTGGTTTTGTAGAGGGAAGTTTTAGGGTCAGTTTGGGATAGCTTATTTGGTGCGGTGGCGTTTTGAAAACGCACATGGTCTGTTTGGGTAAATAGCATTTTGACAGCTTATGCATTTTCAAAACGCTGAAACCAGCGTTTTCATATTGCACCTGTCTAGGTGCGGTGGCGACTTTCTGGCTCCGGTCTAGCGTTTTCAAAAAAATAAAAATTTGTAATAGATACCGCACATAATTTATCAACATATTATTTTTAATTAATTTATCAGCAGATTATTCAATAAGCTGCAGCTGCCATAAACAAACCCTTATTTAGCATTTTCATCCATTCCGCCTCATTCTCATGTACTTAGATATCCAATATAAAGTTTTATTTTTTAATTTTAATACCAACTAAAATTATTTAAATTTTAATAAAATTTCATATTTTTAAAATACAATATATAAATTTAACACATAAATATTATATTAATATTATTTATTTATTATTTATCCAATTCGAGTCAAATTAAATCTAACATAAATGAACAAACTTTGTTCTTATTAAGTGTTTATAACTCAAAGTTCAAAAAATTTATTCGTACATAACTCTTAAGAAGCGAATGGAACATGAACTACATAACCATCTTATTATTATTATTATTATTATTATTATTATTATTATTCTTGTTGTTGTTGTTGTTATTATTATTATTATTATTATGACAGTGTGTGTGTGTGTCTATATATATATATATATATATACACGCGAAAGAGCGGACTCATTAGTGTTGCCTCTTGCGTAAGTCTCTCGGGTCGAGGGTTCGAATCCTGTGGTGCAGACTCTTCAGATCAACATCAAACACACTAGGATTTTCAACTTTTTAGAAGAATTGATATTTGGTGCCCACTGAAAGTAAGGGGGCTTACATACATATATGTATGGATGCATGCATGCATGTATGTATGTATATATGTATGTAAGCCCCTTTGCTTACCCTTCTGTTATGGACAAATAATCTCACATCGGCTAGGTGTAGGGCCGAAAAATAATATTTAAGTCCTGGGCTGCCCACCTCTCTTAAGGATTTTTTTAGGAGGTGACAAGTAATATCATAGCAGATTACTGTCTGTCAGGTGAGTGAACTCTCCATGATCGAATGAGAGCTTTGGTGGAGCCGATCCATGATGACGTCACGTAATTGGAGAAGAATGTGATGACAAATAATTTCACATCGATTATATTTATGTTCTGTGCTCTCGACTGTTTTTGGGAGTTGACACCTCGCTCTTAAATATACTCTTAAATCTACCACACTGTCCGGAGCTCGCCATGGGGACTGACGCCGCCGCCGCCATTTATCTCTTCACGCCGAGTACTTCTCTCTCAACGCGCTCGTGTCCACTCAGGACAAAATCTGTCGTCCCGCGGCCTTTCTTCTCGTCCACTTCTGCTTCAATTCGGCGGCATGTTATCCAATTCAAAATCTCTAAGCGCTGGCGGTTCACCCCTTGGTCGTGTACGTCGCCTTACCTGGACGCGGAGCCATCGCAGCAGCTCGGCATCCTCATGGAAGTCGATGGGTTAGTACTCATTCCAATAGTTTTTGGGTGATTATTGGGATTCTGGAGCTTTTCCTTCAATGAAATTTGGTGTAATCTGAAATGTCCTGAAGGGTTTTTGGCGGCTATTAGGATTTAGTTAAAGTAGAATTATGTAAATCCTGTAAATCCGGTGTGTGGGCTGAGTCCTTAGAACTATTTGGCATGTTAAGTGGCTGGAGACAATTGAAATTCACGAAATATGGTAGAAGGTCCATAAGAGCTAATATAATCATGATGTTTTTGTTTTGGGTGCTGGCCTCTCTGTCAGTTTCATCTTAATGGAATTCATATCCATTTGTTTGTGCTCCCTTGTCCACTTGTTTTGAAGATGTCGATTTGAATGAGCAGCTGCTGTTATTAAACAGATGATAAACTTACCAAGTTCAGCTTTGATGTTAAATGTTCGATTACTGAAGTTGGGTTAGATTACTGAAGTGGCCAAATTGGTGGATGAGAGTGTCTCCTAAGATACTTAGGAGAGTATAAGAGGGACATTTAGGCCATTTAATTAGTGAGGCTAAGTATATAGGCGTAGTAGTGATTTATAAGGAGGAATCTAAATTTCTATCTATAACATATTATTCCCGCTTATTTTTTATGAACTTTGTCTACAAAAATCCAAATTGGATAAATTTAAATCTGAATTATAGGGAATTGAGTCTACAATGCATTTGAAGGTTGTGATTATGTTTGGAAAAGATTTGATAGTGGATTTGACTCTTGAAAGGGGTAGAGGTTAGTCCTGTCTATAATAAATGAGGTTTCGGGTTTCCATTAGGGTTTTCAATTAGTTGAGTGAAATTCAGGGAATCCACTTGGAAAAGATTATTACTTTTATTATATGGAGTTTTTGGGATTTTTTTTGACTTTTGATATTCTTTTCTAAAGAAATAAATGATTAAAAATAGGGAAAATAGAAATTATAGACTAGGCTTTACACTTTAGGATCTTAATTCTCCAGAATTTTGACTATAATGGTATCAAATAAATTAAGGACATTGTATATTGATAAAATTAAATGATCTAAAAAATTTGGATGCAGTCATCTTAGCGATTCTGAATTTAGTTCAAAATTTCAGTCAGCTTGACTAGCTCTTTAATTTATAAGGCTAATTAATTTAAGTCTTAGATATGTATATGTATGGAATTGATTAATATATGTTAAAATTTTAGCGGTTAGATAGGTAAATATATGAATATCAAAGTTTTATGATCAAACACCTACACTTTAATTTTTCATTTACACCACTAAAATGTTTCATATCACATTGAAAATACTCCCATTTAAAAATTTTAAAACTGTTATTAGGTGGTAGAAATGTAAAATGCAAACTTTAGGTGTTAGATATGCAAATGTAAATGCTGTTTAAAAAAATTGACTGCATACTGTAGTATCCATTTTGTAGTGTATTACAACAACAATTCATCGTTCGCATAACAAAAAGTTTCATAATCATGGATAACTACTTTTAAGTCCAAACTTCAATGAAAATAGTCCATAATTACAGAAACACTTCTCAAGTAACATATAGTATCAGGAGAGCAAAAAAAAGTTTAACACTATTACAATGACAATTAATAAGATAATAATATTATTTTTAACATTTACACGGTGTAGCTCCCGTGCCAGCCTTTCCTCAAGTGAAGCTCGCCATTCTCGTCCATTGTCATCAGGGGAATCCGCCAAAGTGTCTACCCAACGGAAGAAGTTGCACTGTTCTGCGATGTTCCTTGGGCAACTATAGAACTTTTTTTCGCAACTGTGCCACCGACGTGATATCAACAGGGTAGTTTGGAGGCCACAGTGACAGAGCAATCGTCGAGATGTCCCGGACATCCTTGAGCTCATATTTTTCTAATTCATATTTTTCTGATTGCAACAAAAGATATAACAACTTATATTACTTGTTCATCAAATCATAACTTTTCTACTTGTGATAACTTCAAAATATATCTTTATTTTTATTATCCATCTTATTACTATGATAAAGATAAACATTGAAAGTAACACACTTGAGTAACTTGTTAGTCACTATTAGCATTACAATAGGAACTATAAATAAGATATAACAACAGTACTAGTACGAATAATGCATCATTTTGCTAAAAGAAACAATTTAAGTAACCAAAAAAGGACAAAACAATTAATGGGGTTCAGTCAAACTGACCTACATCCACGGGAAATGAATCGAAAATCTTTATTAAGGCAATAAAAGATAAGATACATAGCTTCCAATGAACAATGACTCCTTGCCATAATCAACAGATGAAAGAGCTAAAAAAAAATGTTGGGCCACTTTAATACATATTTTTTCCCTTTTGTAAAAGTAAGGTAATGCTTTTCATGTAGCAAGAATAAATACATTCCTGATGTCTTAACAACATCAAAGACAAACGTAGCTAAACCCCAAAGAAACCACAACCAGAATAAAAAATACCCTATAGCTAAGCAAATGTGAGGAGATCTAACAGGCATGCGAGAAAAGGTGCACGGAGGTATGGATTTTGCTGATCTAACAAGCAACATAACCCCAAATAAACCACATTCCAGATCATATTTACCCAGCAACAGATCTAACAGGCATGCGAGAAAAAAAATTTCTTACCCTTGCTATGAGGAGATCACGAGAACAGGAAGAGAAAGATAAGGAAGAGAAGAGAAAGACGAACAGGAACCGTCACCAGTGCGAGAAGAGGAGGGGAAGGGAAGAAGATCGTGGCTTCTATTTCGCGGGATAGGGCAAAGAGACACGGAGGTAAAAGTTGCGTCAACGAAGCTGGGCCATGGCAATTAACCCATGGGGAAGGGAAGAAGATCGTGGCTTCTATTTCGCGGAATAGGGCAAAGAGACACGGGGGTAAAAGTTGCGTCCACGAAGCTGGGCCATGGCAATTAACCCACTTTCCACTTTTGATCCGAACCGTGGGATGCGGTGGCAGGAGCGCCAAAGCAAACGCCCAAAAAAAAAATGCGGCGTGGCACCGCGATGCATTCCCACCACTCGCCCAAACATAGCCTGAATCTCAACATTGCTTTCACTTCTACGCTGGTCATAAGTTTCCTACCAATTCTTTCTTCCTTAGCTAAAAGTTTGTTTCAATCAATCTTAGCATGACTTATAAGTTTTATTTTAACAAAAGTGTTTTTTGATAGTAATACATACATTGTCAATCAGAGAATTCATCCATTTGGTTAAGCTACTCTAAAATTTTATTGGGGTCATGAACACAGTTATATGTTAGGGCTTCTATCTTAACTTGTTGGGTAGTTTAATGTTAATTAAATCTAAGATATTCATTTCTATGGGGGTTTCTCGCATATCATCTCCAAATAGAATTATCATCTCTAAGGTCTTCCATGAAACCTTCACTTGTGATTTCAGGATTGACTTACGGTGGCATTGCAAGTGGAGTATGAATCATAGTATTTAGGGTTTGGACTTAGGTAGCTAAATCCATAATGAGATTTTCTAACCTAATAATTTTCTTCTTTTGCAAATTAATTCTCTCTACCCTTCGAGATAAATTATTTATTTGATTTAAGCTAGCTGATTTTGGTGCCATGGTTAATATATTTGATATGCAATGCAAAAATAAAAAAAAATCATCCTCAAATAATTTTCTTTAAAAATTAATGTTAATTTTCTGAAATTGAATTGAAATATAATGTGAAAGTTTTCAAATTAATTGTAGCATTAAAAAAAAAAAACACTTAAACTAACAAGGAGCACAAAACAATAAGTGAGTTTTTCAGAGACAAATATAAGACCTAAAGCAATATAATTCAAATTTTTTATTTAGCGATTGCAATTCCAGTTAGGCTTAATGTATGAACTCCCTCTTCCTGAAACTTTCACTCAAATGATTCATAGAATTGCCTACTACATGAGTTCTAGAATTAGTTTTATCAATGAAAATACTTAAAATCAGTGATGAAATTGCTCAAAACCATAATGTAGTGACTGACTTTGTAGAATTCAATTTAGATCACTTACAAATGCATTCTTTAAGCTTCCAAGCTTTATAGTGTCAAACTAGCAACAACTTTCTTATACCACCACCAACCTGGTCTCTGATACCAAAATTGATCCAGATTTGGGTTAGATTACTGAAATGAACCAATTGGTGGACGAGGGCTCTCCTAAGGTTAGAAGAGTGTAAGAGGGGTATTATGGACAATGCTTTTGTTTCTGCTGCAGCTGTAGAAAAGCTGAGTTCAAAAGCTACTGTTGAAAATTTGCTGTTCTTACCGTAGCATTTCAGAAATAGTTGAAGTATGTTTGATAGTGGAATTATAGGGTTTAGGAAATGAGTTAACCATAGATATAAAAAGTTTGACTAAGTTTGGACTATGTTTGACAGTGGAATTGAATTTTGGAAGGGATAGAGGTCAGTTTGGTCCATAATAGATTAGGTTTAGGGTTTTTGTTTACGGTTTTCAAATTGTTGAATAAAATCCAAAGATTTCTCTTGGAAAAGGTTACTATGACTCTAATTTTATGATCCAAAGTTTTTAAAATATTTTCAATGACTTTTGTTATTTTTTTTAAGGAAATAAATGACTAAAACTATAAATAATAGAAATTACAAACAACTAGGGTTTAAACTTTAGGGTTCTCCAGAATTTTGACTACAATAGCCTCAAATAAATTAGAAATTTTATAGATTGATATCAGGCTAAATGTTGTAAAAATTTTTTATGCAATTAAGCTTGAATTGATCAATCTATTGAAAGCGACTTTGAAGTTGGTCTAAAATTTCAGCCACTTGACAACTCTTCAATTAGACTTTAGGATTCAATTTAAGGAAGCAAAATTTTGAATTTTTATTTGTAAATATGAATTCACAAAAGCCAACACAAAATTCAGAAGGAAAATTATAGAAATGTAAAGATCCTTACTCATTAAAGTAAGGATCTTAATGGTTTATACAAACCTTTGTTAAGGCCGACCACCAAGCCTACTTTAATCACGTTGGAATAACTCCAATTTTGCACAAACATCAACTCTTCTTTTTTAATTCAGAAATTAAGAATTTTATACGAAGCATTTTCTTCCCAAAAGACATATCGATCATCAAATCAAAATTATGTACCAAATGAGAGAAGTTAGAACTGTTATAGTGGCTTCTTGACTTGGTCAACACAATGTTCTTTAATTTCCTTTTTTGACATCCTCTTTCAACTTGATTGACTTTGACCTTAACCCAAGCATGGAACATGGCACCTAAGTAAGAATGTTGACTTATGATCTACACTTATTTGAAATAAAATTAAAAAGATACTTAAACATACACATTACAATAAGAAATAAACACAATTATTAGTTAAAAAATAGAAAAATGCCTCCAAATTAGTTTTCATGCTTTCCATTTGGCTTAACTAGCGGTAGTTGGACCTTTTGAATGTGAAGCAATTGTCTTAAATGTCTTGTGGTGGTAGGTCTCATATTGATGCTTGTAGGCCTAGCTTTGGGTCCACCTCTTGTGCTGGTGGGCCCCACCTTGGATTTACCATGATGTGCTATATCAGTTTGTCCATAGCACTGCAGCAAATTTTTTAAATTGGACTTGGGGCAAAGATTTTATTATCACTCTTTTTTTTGATTGAATGATGGTTAGAATATGAACCATGTTGACTCCACTCATGCTATTTGGAGTATTGAATTCCAAGATTGAGACTACAGTCTTGCTTTGTAGTCACATTTTAATTTTCATTTTAAATGAATTTTGCTTACAAAAATCCTTAAACTCCTTATGCAAATCTATTTAAAATATTTTAGTTTGAATTGTGCTTGGATATTTGATACCTCGTTTGCATGTTGCAAACTTTTTTGATTGAATCTCATGGAGGCTTATGATTATGCTTTTGTTTGATAGTTAATTGGTTAAGGATGTAGCTTTGTCAACTCTAGCCTTTGATATGAAGAGAATTGAACTTAAATATTGTGGCTAATAGCGCTGCTATTTAGGCAGTTGAAAGCCATATAATTTTCTTTTAAAAACTGGGTAATTCTGAGTGGTTTGTTGATTCCACACTTGGAATGCGTATAACTGAATCAAAAGTGTTGGACTTTTGTTCTATCCTATAAGTATGGCAGCCCAAAATTTCTCTTAAAACATTCGTTTATTATTTTATAATTCAAAACACCATCAGGATACAAGGCTTGTTGACACCACTCTTATTGGGTGAAGGATCCAGTTTCCACCCATTTTTCATCATTTGAAGAGCTCTACTAGTTCATCATTTCTTACAAATGGGAAAATTAGGAAATTTATGTCTAGATTGGCATGTGAGATGATTAAATAATGCTTAAAATATTAATTTGACCTTTTGCTGGATTATTCCTTTTTTTTGTCTCTTCTCACATCTCTTTCTCTTCCATTTATTTTTCCTGTTATCTTTTTTCTTTTCTTTCTTTTTTTTGTTCAAATAAAAATGTTATAATATTCCTCGGCCCTCTCATGGATGAATACAACATTATGATGAGTTTGAGTTCAGACTGAATTGGCACTTTAAAATGATATACTTCTTTCTTGCAGTTGCATGCTTTCTAGAATAGTGCAATTCAAGTCTAATTTGCGTTTGAGTAGTGCTTGCAGTGTTTTGGATTTGTCTTGATTTCAATTTGGACATCAGCACACTTGTTGAATGTGCATGCGTGTTTTCTTTTGTAGCAGATTGGTGCACCTTTTATTATCACATCAGCACACTGTACAATACTAAAGATACAAACTGCACAATATTAAATTTTGTTCAACACTTGAACACTTAATGCAACTGTAAAAAAAGTTCTTCGATGGTATTAGAATTAATGGTAGATAGGTCGTTATGAAACAACTAAACTTGTTTGCTATGGTGGTGCTTTAACATGATTTGTCCTAGAGTCTCTAAAGATGTTTTAAGTTGTCAAATATTTAATTTACTATTATTTCTTTTCCTTATCTATGAAGTTCAAACTTTCCTCAGCACTGCAACCTACATACCCTATTGTCTTAGATGATAAATTCTACTGTTATTTTATTTTCTAGTAATGATAAGAATTTATTTTACTGGATATAAGATTTCAATCTCCGCGTACTTGAATCAAAATCTAATTTGGTCACAGCAGAATATGTAAAAAGATATCCATTTTAATAGCTGTTCACATTCTATATCATACTTCTCTATCATCTTAGTTCCTTCAGCTTGTCTTATGTCAGCTTGTTAAGATTGTAGATATTTTTTTAATTCTAAGAATAAAAGTTTGCTGTTTTTTTTCTTGGAATAGAATAATGCAGCTTAGTTCTGATAATCATTTTTTTTGTACCTTCAGGGTTCTTGCAGATCTATATCGCCTAGGCAACTGCGAAGCATTCAATGTAGGTGTGAATTCTGCTGTGCAGGCATCAATCCAGAATCAAATCTTTTTTTTGCTAAGAGCTTAGTATAATTTTTCTCTTTTAATTTCTTATGCGATAGTCTTTCTTATTCCCCTGAAACGATAATCATAAATGAAAAATTATATCCCAGGATCTGGTCTAAATTATTCTTTTGTTATTTCAGCATTTCAGAAACTTGGGCTTGATTGTGCAAATTGGACAGAACCAATATATGCAGATTTGAAAAGGTATAGCATTTTACAATTATTTTCTACCAAACTAATTGTGACTTCTCAAAGAAAACACGCTATACCAGCTATTTTCTATCATCATGTCAGAAGTTCTCCATGTTCTGTTTGAATTGGGTCATTTAAAATTTGAAGTTGTACTGAGCTCAGATACGCAAAATCTACATCCACAGGAAGACTGCTGGTGATGAAGAAAGGATGCTGATATTATTTTTTAACAGGGTAAGGATGTTGCTGACATGATCCCAAGTCAAGCATCTTTGGTTAATAAATTGTTCTGATAGAAAGTAAAATTTGAGTTAATATGATCCCCAATGTCTTAATATTTGAAGCGAGGACTTAAGATTGGCAGATTGCATTCATTTTAGGTGATGTTGTTTTTTGAAAAATACCAAATTTTCTTACATTTTGAACCGAATGATAGTTGTCCTTGGAACACATTGGTTTGGAATAAGTATTAGTCTACCGTGCTAAACACATCTTTGGTCCCATGTACTGTGTCCACTCGCTTCTTGGGGTCATGTATTTGGCCGTCCATGTCAGATGTGTGTTCACCTGCATTTTCGTCACTTCTTGAGGAAACCTTTTGGAGGAGGCAATACAATGAATCCCAACCATCTAAAACCATCTTTTAAAGCCATTTATAGGCTGTAAAAGCATCTCCATGCAAATATTTAACCTCCCTGAGTCCCTTAAAAACTAAGACTTTTTGACTTCCTTTTTTCAACTTCCATAACATATTCAAGTCCAATTTATCTTTTAACCTTTTCTAGTTTTTTGTTTTGCAAGGTCATTATAAAGCTACAATTAAAATGAAAGCCATAAACCATTGCTTTAGCATTTCCTTTACAGGCAATTTTTTGCAAAAGTGTCACAAACTGGCTTCATCTTAGGCTCTTATCTTCCTTAAAAACTCCTAAAATATTTGAAATAATGTGTTTTTCTGTAGCTTATTTTGTTCAGAGCAATGAAGCTGAAATAATGTGTTTTTACCGTGTGATGTCTTCAACAGCAATGTCAGCTACCGTGGTCATTAGTGCATAAAACACAATTTTTATTATTATTATGGACTTAATGGATGCATCTTTCATCAGATTTGAATCCTGTCTATTTCATTTGCTTAGTTGCCTTTTGCACATTACTTGTGGGGCTTAGCTATCAGCTTACTAATGAATTTTGCATATAATTTGAAGTGAATTTTTTAATTAAGCGTTACTCTCATTTGAATTAAAGTTAGGGCTTATTTGCTTCATAGTTAGCTTTGTAGCTATGTAATCTAAATAGTATTGTTTTTAGGATGGGCTTAATATTTTTCAAATACAATATTTTTTATTAATGTTACCTCAATTAAAGAATGCAGTGCTGTAAAGATTCTCTGATGATTATTTTGATCCTTTTTGTGCTTTCATTTAACCATCTATATTGAGGTAATCTAGATAGTGTCCATTTTGTACGCTGTCTAGAATTCCTTAAATTGACTTATTGATGTAATTCAGAGTTTGTCAACGTGGGATGAAGCCAAGCATCTTTTAGTATTAATAAAATGGTATATAATTTGAGACTATTTTGGAAAAAAAATTGTAAACTAAATATCTCATGACCTCTGTTATGTCACTTTTTTTAGTCATATGGTGCAAATTTCTTCCGTATTAGATACATTTTCGTTGAGGAATATTTTTGACATTTGTTTATTTCTTTATGCTTGACACATTTTTGAGTTGTAATAAAATAAAATTTATGTCATTCACGAACCTATGTAAGTATTCAAAAGTTTAATATATTTGCTTAGACTATTCCTACATGAATTTGAAAGTATTTGGGAAATTTGTTGATATATTCTTTTTATGTTGTTAAATATTTATCAGTTTTTTCTTACTATTAACATTGCTTCATGGATGGTGGAAGCTTACTTTTATTTGCTTGAATTTTATTTTCTATGTAGATAGAATGAAGTAGTTTGTTTGAAGTTTTGAGAAATATGTTTTTTCTGTTTGACTTCTGCAGATTGGTTGGCCAAGTTCATTGCCCACTCCTGAGAAAGAAGCATTCATGAAGCGTATAATGCGGGAAAAGGTACTTTCTTAACAAATACCTGTTTTTTCTTCTTTTAGTAATTTCGTTCCCCCACCTTTAAACCCTTGAACTATTTGTAAGGGTATGTGTACTGAGAAACCATGGACAGGGAGCGGCTAAACTGTTAATTTAAAAACTGAGCACTTTCTGAATTTTATTTTGTCGAACTATTTAACTAAAATTCAAACAAAGTTAAAAATCCAAAATAAGCCAAGACCCAACTGGCTGTGTGTGTATTTTTTTAATTTAAGGTTGAAGATATGTAATCTAGTATCCTTTCGTCTTGGTTGATTTAAGACGATCTGAATAGTTTTAGAAATTTGGATTGCGATTTACAGCAACACTATTCTGCTCAACATCAGTTTGCACATTGTTAAATGCGACACTTATTAGGTTAAGATTTTTGAATCAACCATGATGTATTTTGTCAAACCTGAGATAAAATCTAAATCAAACTGATTAGCTTATGCAATGTGGATCATACTACGAGGAAATTCATATCTAACTTAGTATCCAGCAATTTTTGCATTTTATTTGAGACATATCCTTTCAAGCCTATGCTAAAAGTTTTTTTTTTTTTGAGTCGGAATTCACCTTGTACTTGAATTCAGAAAATTATGTTCATAGTTTTGTGGTTAGTTTTAAAACTGGCTTCATCAAATTTTCATGGAAGCTTCTTTTGAATTTGTGTGGTGTGAGGGATTGGTTGAATGATGCCATTTCGTACTTTGAACAAAACAATCTGAATTAAATATTCTTTTAGCCCTTTTCCATAGCGCTCAAACTTTCTTATGTTAGAAAGCCATGCCTGTTGAATGGCATTGTGCTTGAGAAGTGTTTCGCCCCTCATATGAATTGTGAGTATATTTTTTCTTGAGTCATTACTAAATTTAGTTTCCTGTCCAAATTTAAGAAATGATCTGTCTAATTTTTTGTATGATGTTATTTTCATTTTTTGTACTTCATTAATTCATTTATTATTATCCTTCTTCTTCTCTTAAAGCTTCTCTTGATAGATAACTTTGAAGTTTTCCATTAAATTCATTTGTTATTGTCGTTTTACGATGGAATCTTAACAAGTGCTTAACCTATTGACAGTGGAAAGCTCTACAAGACTTTGCGATATCAAGTGATTTAGCTTTACGACCTGGAGTTGAAAAGTAGGTTTTTATTATTTGCTATCAACCATGTCAAGTATCTCATGACCTATAAAAGCACTCTGGCAGTTTTTTACTAGCCAATGAATTTAGTGGGTTATGCTTTTCATTGCATTTTCTGCAGATAAAACATTCAGGCATTCCT